GAGAGAGAGAGAGAGAGAGAGAGAGAGAGAGAGAGAGAGAGAGAGAGAGATATTTCCACAAGAAAGATTTTCTCTTATACTAAGTGATGGTGATGTTGTCTTTAGTCATTTGGCAATCTTTCAAGTAGCAATTTCTGGAATAATGGAATAACTAGCTTAAAAATTAGAGCCAAATCTTCAATTCACACTGTAAAGTATACACTTTTACTTCAATGATGCTAGCAGTTGCTATTACAATTCAGCTAATGTTTGCGGTGGCCTTTCTAAATTTAAAACATCTCTCTGTTCCATTAACAAGAGGAATGGACAAACGTATTTGCTGAGGGCCAGTAACAACACCCTCCTGAGGCTCCTTTCAGCCTCTACAGCATTTACTACGAGCCTTACCTGCAGCAGCAAAGAGAAGCATGAAAGGAATGTAACACAAGTTTGCTGGCCAACAATGGGAATGGAGAGAGAAGGAAGGATGTCACAGTCTCACACCAAAACATACACACGCACACACACACCAGCAGGTAAGTTTTCTCTTCAGATCGTAGGGATCATTTTCCAGGACCACTGCACAGATTACCTGAATCTCCTAAAATTGAATGAGAGGTAAAAAAAAAGAAAGGAAAACCTGTGTTATAAATCTTGGGACGCTTTTCCCCCTTAGTTCTTTAAATACATTTTCCCATTCCAAATGTAAAAGAGCTGACCCTCACCTCTACCTGCTCCATCATATAGTGAATAAGACTGACAGAACAAATTACATATGATGCATCGTTCTTACTCTATTCTTTCAAAAGGAGGGCAAAGCTTATCACTGATGGAGGACACTCCAATAATGTCATTCACCAGTCTTTCCATGGGACTGGGCACTTGCTGTGGTCTGGAAGCTTCAGGCAGCTCCAATTACAAATTTTATAAATTATACAAAGTGACTCACTTTGCAATTTGACATAACATATAACTCTTTACAAAGAGCATCTTCATACTCCTCCTCCTCCTCCTCCTCCTCCTCCTCCTCCTACTTCTTTATATAGTATTGTAAGGTTTATTTACATAATGGTTTATTTTATAATTTTTATGTAAGGCTTATTTACATAATGTTTTCAGGTTTGCAAACTTTTGCATACCTTATCTTCTTTGCTTCTCATATCGGCCCTTTCCCAGTATGTCATTCAGGTATCATTCCCCTTACTTTTACAGATGAGAGATTAAATGACTTGCCCACAGTCACACAACCAGCGAGTTTTGGTGGTGGCATTTGAGCTTGTCATCCTGACTGGCACTTGGCCCACTATACTAAGCTGTCTCTCTACAGAACAAAGGACCATCCAAAAGAAAACTGTCCACAACGAAGCACTGCTTTTCAAACTTTCATCAGGAATCATCAAGAAACGGTGAAAACAGACAATCCCACTACCCACTGTAATATGGGTGATTTCATCTTTAAGATTTTATGGTGGCATCCATTAGCTTTTAGCAAGATTGCCTCACTTTGGTAAGTTTGAAAGTAACTAATGAAATTGTTTTACTCACAGAGCAGTAAGGATGTTCCCCTTATTAGAAAAGGACAAAAGGCATGATAATGCAGATCCCCAAATTCAAGGATGTGTGGGGCCAAAAGAGTACATGCAAGTGGCCTGGAGGAAGGTGAGAAGCCAAGGAGAGGATAGGAGGCCTTCTTATAGAAATGAAACAAAAAAAAAAACAGACAAAAAAACCAAGTCAACAACACAGAAAAGAAAAGGAATAAATGCAAAAGAAAGTGATAGGGCTCAGCAAACCAAGTTATTCTGAAGTTTTAAGAAAGTGTCAGCCAGAAGCAAGGATCCTTTCTGACTCCAGTAGAGTGACAAGCAAAAACTCATGACTGAGCAGAACACTCCACACTAATTCTGGTGCCATCCTAGACCCAAGTTAATGTCACCTGATTTTTAGTGGTGAAACTGGGTAAGTATGGAATGTTCATTTTGACTTGTGATCTTGGTTACTGATAGACTGCTTTCCTTAGAGCTGGCCTTCTTCATCTGGGGCCCATAGATAGATTTCATAGATTTCAGGGAATCTCTGAATTTAGATGGGAAAAATATATCTTTATTTTCACCAACCTCTAACTGGAATTGAGCATTTCTTTCCATTATGAATTTTAAAAAAGCATTATTTTGAGAAGCAATTTATAGGCTTTACCAGTCTGCCAAAGGGGTTGTGATATACAAAAAGAACCCTTGCCTTAGAAAAATGCAGTATCACCATAAGAAGTGAGGGGGACAGGATAATTTAAGCACAGGTTATCATCCTTGAAGGATGATAGTCAAGTTGTGCCTTCTTCAAAAGTACACAAGGCTTGTTACAGCAGTGGTCCCCTGCTTGAGAACTTAACTTGGTGCACATCTCAAGAAGTTGAATCCACTGTCTACTCCAGAGAAATCTGGAAGGAGTATCAGAAAACATAAACCTTATAAAGAAAGGGACTGTGTATTCTCTGTCTCCCTTATGGCAATTCGGTACTATGCATCAAACCATGAGTCACTGGCAGGGATGACAGCATCCCCAGACATCTGTGCTCATTTGGCAAAACTACTATTATTGGCCCCTTTACATGGTGTTTGTATTAGTCCTGGGATAAAGTACCTTGTTGTGTATTTTTGTTTGTTTGTTTGGTGGCTGACTCTATGATTTGTCCCTCAACCAATGCAAATTGGGCGACTTTACCTGTAATTGGTCCTTCCATCGAGGCAGATCAGCAAGTGATCTGTGACTATAGTCTTAGGGTCACCTGAAGCACTGAGACTTTAAGTAGTTTTCCCAGGGCTCACACAGTCTTTATGTTTCAGAGACAGGATTGAATCCGGGTCTTCCCAGCTCCAAGGCTGGCTTTCTACCCTCTTCACTACGCTGTCTCTCAATGCACCCTTAAGAGTAGTAAAAGCTAGGAATGGAACGCCAAAGGCCTACTAGTAGAATGAAATTTTACATTTAAAATTCATCTTCCTTTTATGCTGCTCACCACAGGCACATAAAAGGACAAAGGAGCTTCTGATGCCATGCCAAGATACTTAGTGCTCTGTGCTCATGAAGGATGAGGGAATTTAGGGAACAATGATTACATGGCTAACTCACAATGAGGTCATTTTTTTTTTTTCATGAACAGCTGGGCCAGTTGGAAAACTACTTAAAGGCTGCTGTTGGAGGAAGGGGTGCAGTAGAAAAAACAAGGCTGCAAAGGTTTCAGTGTTAAATGCAGACACTTGTGCTCAATTAGCTTCATCTGCATTCCAGATTAACCAAGGGCACTGCAAAATCAACACAGAACTCATCTTCTCTTTGGGGCCCTTTCCAAAAAGGTGCATTATTTGGCTAGAGAGCTGCCGCTGCCATGCATGAAGAATTAAGGTAGCTTATGGAAAAGCACACTTTGCGTGGAAAAGAACCATCAGGGTCAAGCCTATAAACAGCTTTCTGAAGCGTATGAAGGGGATCCAGAAGGCTCTTTTTTTTTCTTTTTAATGCAAGAGAATTTGGTGTAAACATCCAAGAAAATTGTACTGAATAGTAGTGCATTCATAAAAGTTCAAAAAGTGTTCTTACATGCTCTTAGACATTCAAGACCCTGCTCCCACCCAATCCATATGAATTCTGTTGAGTAGTGATGGCACAGGATAATCACCTTTTCTGCAACAACTCTGGGGTAAGGGACACAGTCATGGTGCATTTAGTGCGAAAACAACATTTTCACTTCCCTAGCCTTAGAGGCAAATCTCATCAACCCTTCAGCTCCGTATTAATATGTCACAGACTAGGGGTTTTAAGATGTCATGATGTCACCAAAGGGAAAGAGAAAATTATCTCCCTTCATGGAAATATGACTTTGACATTTCTCTATTTCCCAACTTCCCTCTGGTGTTCCCACCTCCATGAGAAATGACTCTTTTGTAAGGCTCTATGACTTTCATGTCAATCCTTTGCTCCTGTTCCCCAATCACGACCGTCCTCCACAAGCGATTGTCCTCTCGCTCCTCCTCAGCAGTGTATTCTGGGATGGACTCTGCCTCCTGGCCAGAATCTTGGAGGGCTGCTGGGTCCTCTGGGAGAAAAAAAAAAGCACAAGCAGGTACGCCTTCAGAAGAGAGGTTAGGGATTGGTAGTAATATCTCATGAGACAGCTGAAGAACTGATTATAAGCTCATCAATGGCCTGCATTTTATATTTCTTCTATATTTTGTGCATTGGCAGTATGATATGATATAATGGAAAGACTCCTGGCCCTGCAGTCAATGGGGGTGGGTTCAAGTCTTGCGTTTGGTGCTTACTACCAGTGTGATCGTGGACAAGTCACAACCTACATGGGACTCAGTTTCTCCATCTATAAAATGTAGGTGTGGAATTAATTAACCACTGTAGTCCCTTTCAACTTGATATCTTATGATCCTATGAGCTGAACCACCAATCCTACCACCATTTTGAACAAATAGAAGTTGTTTCATAATAATTGACTGAGTCATTGAGCAGCCAAATCCATTACCCACATCCTAAAATAGGCCTATCTTAGTAGTGACCCATCAAGGTCCAGGATCATACCAAGTCAATCATGGTCATGAGAGAAAGAGATAATATTTGCTCCATGGGTCTCTGCAGGGAGTAAGGATACTACAGGACAGTAAAGCTAGATTCAAGTCCAGCATGACCTTGGGATCTCTAAAGAGAGCCCAAACTGTAGGCCTACTCTTAACTAATCCAAATTAATTTTCAGGCCTTGGAATAAGCTCATTTTTAACGGGTATTTAAAAAAGAGAGGGACATGAGACAAGGACCAGTCTGAACACTGTCCCCACAGTTGTTGCCAACATGTATGAATGCCTGGGGTGGGAGAGGAAGGAAGTGGGGTGTAGGTCTGAGCCAACAACACAGAGAACAAAGATCTAAGAGTCTCTTTGACTCTTAGACTCTTAGAGAGAATCATTAATACCCTCCACTCCTCCATTCATTCCTTTCTACCAGTATGGCCCTTCCCTCCTCACATATGCAAAGTGTCCATTGAATTTTTAAATTCTTCATTTAACCATTTTACTTCTCTTTGCTCAATCAAATTTCCTCTGTCATTTCTTTTTTTTTCATACTTTCAACCAACAAGCATTTATTAACCACCAACTATGTGCCAGGCAGTGTGCTAGGCCATAGGCACACAAAGACAGCAAAGGAAGTTTCTGCCTTCAAGGAGCTTATTATATTCTGTTAGAGGGAAACAACACGTGCACATGTAACTAAATACAAGGTAAATACGAAGTAATTTCAGGAGGCACTAATAGCTAGGAGGTTGGGGGATCAAGAAAGACTCGTGGTGGAGGGCACTTGAGTTGCATTTTGAGGGGACCTAGAGATTCTAAGAAGTAGAAATAAGGAGGGGGCTCAGCACACAGGGACAGCCAATAAAGAGGCACAGAGACCCGGTATGGAATAGGGAATTGACTGATTTGGCTGGACCAAACAGTGTGTAAAGGGGTGTAATGTATAACAAGGCCAGAAAGGTAGATTGGAACCATATTGTGAAGTGTTTTAAATGCCAAAGAGAGCACCTCGCATTTTAATCTAGAAGCAAGAGGGAGCCATTGGAGTTTTTTTCATCAAGGGAATGGCACAGTCAGACGTGTACTTTGGAAATATCAATTTGACAGGATGGGATGGGGAAGGGAAAGACATGAGGCTATTGCAATATTCCAAGCAAGTGATGATGACAGCCTACCAAGGATGGTTGTGATCTAAATGGAAAGAAGGGAGAAACATGTTGAGATAAGATTTGGCAACTGCTTATATTTGGGAGTGAAGTATATGAAGACTGGAAAGATAAGAGGGAGCGAGGTTATGAGGGACTTTGAACAACAAACAGAGCATTTTGTATTTGCTCCTAGAGGCAATAGGTAGCCACTAGAATGTATTAAGTAGAGGGAGTGACATGATCAGACCAACATTTTAGGAAAATCACTTTAGTGGCATCCTTCTTGACCTCTCTGCTGCATGTGACAATGTAGAACACCTCTTTCTTGATACTATTTGCTTTGGTATTTTAGAAACTATTCTGGTTCTTCTCATTTTGTCTCTTTTTTCTGGATTTTTCTCCTCTTATCTCTTAGCTATATGGTTGTGCTCAAAGTGTTGTCCTTATTTCTCTTAATACCTTCTCTCTTAATCATCTCACCTACTGCCTGTATTTAATTATCACTTTTGTAAACAATTTCCAAATCTGTATATGACTCCACTGATGAGTCATCAAATGGTGGATTCAGGGCTGGCTTTGGAATCCGAAGACCTGGATTCAAGTTTTGCCACTGACACATAGGAGGTCTGTGACTATGACCCAATCACTTAAATGCTCAGCGCTCCAGGCAAACTGTCTAAGATTATAAATTATAAATGACAGCTGGATTGCTAATCTGCGTGGGTGGATGGAATTTCCACATGATATCACAAATCTGTGCATGCATTTAGACACATACACACACACACACACACACACACACACACACACACACACACACACACACTCCTAATCTCATTCTTTCCCAGGAGCTCCAGTTCCGTATTTCCAACTGCACACCAGAGATGATCACCGCCTTAGTGATCCTGACATGAAGGGGAAGCAACAGTAAACTTGAGGAGGAAGCTTTGCAGAAGCAGATTCCCAAGCACCAATGTTCCAGATTTTGTTTTGAGTTGTACAGGCAGCAGAGTAGTGCAGCAGACAGAATCCTGAACCCGAAGTAAAGAAGATTTAAGTTCAAATCCAGCCTCAGACATTTATTAGCCATGTGACTCAGGAGAATTCTCTTAACTGCTGCCTGCCTCAGTTTCTTCATCTGTAAAATGGGCTAATAATAATAGCAACCTCTCTCCCAGGGTTGTCATGAGGATCAAATGCAATAATACTTGAATGGCATTTTGAAAAACTTCAAAAGCACCATATAAATGTTAACTATTATTATTAACTTGCAAGTTTTGAATCAGTTAAGTTCTACCTACAGAGAATGTCACAACAATCCATCTCCAATTGTAATAGTGTTTAAATTTATTTAGAGTTTTAAGATTTGCAAAGTAATTTGTACACATTCTTTTTTTATTTAATTCAATAATCTTGTGAGTAGGTCCCATTATTTTCTCCATTTTATAAAGGAGGAAACGGAGGCTCAGGGAGATTGAATAATTTGTCCAAGGACCCACAGCTAGTAAGAATCTGAGGACTTGAACACATGTCTTCTTGGGTCTGAGTCTGGCACTCTAACCACTCCGCTCCACTGCCTCTGGGGTCTCCAGCAAAGGTTCTACAATTCCTCCATATTAGGTGCAAACCGCATACCCAGCTTTCTACTTCCCAAATTTTTATCACTGATCTTCTATTCAGCCCTGCTCTGCCAGAAGAAACTCTATTCATTCAAATCCTAGCATATTTTACCATGTCTCTGGAACCCCCAAACTATTCTCAGATCATTCCTTTATTATTCTGAAACTTTCCAACGAACATTCAAGTCCACCTTCTTACTCTAACCAAACCCTAGCTCTCCCCTGAGGAAACTACATCCTTAGTAATCCTTCCTCCCATCAGGGAGGTCCTGCCCTTTCCAGCCCACAGGACCAAGAGTGGAGAGGATCTGGTCTCCTCTTTTATCTTTCACTGTTTCCAACCTTTAAATCCTCAAACTTCATCCCCCAACTTCTCTGCTCCTACCCTCAATGGTAGAGCCCAAAGATGGAGGTCTTGAAACTGAACTGACTTTACCCAGGATAAATTTTTGTTATATAATCCCAACTGGTTCTTCATTACTCTTTGATGATCTTCCCATTTGACCTATGTCAATTTCTTATTTATCTTCCCATAACCTCTATATCAAATCCTTAATTCTTTCTTCTCATTGTTGTTGTAAAGGTAAAATGAGATAATATTTGGAAAGCATTTTGTGAAGCTTAAAGTGCTACATGAAAGTTTGCTATTGTTATTGTTACTAATCCCAACTATTTCCCTCTACATTTTTTGTGCTTAACTTAGCCTCCTACTTGCCAAAAAGACTGTGGCTATCTGACATGCACTTCTGGAACTCTGCCCTTCTATTACTCAAAATTCTTCATCATCAAGACTCACTCTCTCCATCCTTCTGATCATAGCAGAGAAGATATCTCTATTGCTCCCTAGAGCTAATGCTTCAACCTGTGGCTTTGTTCTTATTCTTTCCTACCAGTACAGTCCAGTGTCCTAAAGTTAGTTTTGGGGTTTTTTTTTGGTTCAGTCATTTCAGTCATGTCTGACTCTTTGTGACTCCATTTAAGGTTTTCTTGGCAAAGATCCTGGAGTGGTTTACCATTTCCCTCTTCAGCTCATTTTACAGATGAGGAAACTAAGACAAACAAGGTGAAGTGACTTGCCCAGGGTCATAAAGGTAATAAGTGTCTGAGGCTGGATTTGAACTCAGATCTTCCTGACTTCCTGCTCTATTCACTATGCTATCTAACTGGACACAAAACTCACCTCTGCTGCCTACCTTTCGCATGACCTAGAAGACATCATCTACTCTGCCCCTCAGTTTCCTCAAAAGGAAAATGAAGAGATTAACTAAATGATTTTTAAGGCTGTGTCAGGCCTTAAATCTTTTTATCCTATGACTTTGTTCCCTCATTTATTCCTTCTCTCACATGAATGAATATTCAATCTCTCCTCCTCCACTGCCTCTTTCCCATTTGCCTACAAATTCTCTCAGTACTACCTAACCTTTAAAAAAAAATTTCCCTCTAATTCTTTTATCTCAACCAGCAACTACCCCATCTCTCTCTTCCTTACTCACCTTCTTGCAAAAGTTAGTTATATACGAATTTCAATTTTCTCACCTCCTACACTCCTCCCAGACTCTTGCTGTTTGGTTTTCTAACCACTCTACTGAAAAGTTCACCTGGGACTAAATTCAAAAGCATTTTTTTCAGTTTTTACTCCTTTAGACTTGTTTTGTAGTTTCTGATACTATTGACCATGCCCTCTTCCTATAGGATGCTCTGGTTCTAACCTATCTTTCCAGGCTGGTTACACATAATTCACCTTTATTTCCT